GAGTTTTAACCCACTGGGGCCGGGACGAGAACTGCTGTCGACTACGTGGGAGCCCAGCAACATAGCCATTATGCTAACTGCTGGTTCCTTTAAACAAGCACTTTTAAAAGTGCATAAATTGGGGCCAACACATGGGTTGATGGTTAGGGCATCTGGATCCCTCACGATTGACTGCACGATTTGTTTTTCAAACCACATTCTATGGCTTGAAAACCAGCAGTTGGCATAATGGCTATGTCGCTGGATTCCCATGTCGTTGACTGCGGTTTGAGTCCCAGATCCCATGGCTTAAACTCAAGCCAGGTGCATCTGCATGCGTGCCCAAGATCCTGTGAGGATAATGGAGGAGAAGGAATTGTGGTGTGTGGCCAAGCCCCCTGGAGGGTGATTTCTGGCTTTCTGTCTCTCTGTCTCTCTCTGTCTTTCTGGTGAGTGCACATGCCCTATAGCAAAAAAAAAAAGAAAAAGAAAAAAGAAAAAAAAAAGAAAAAGAAAAACATGCTGTATGAATGAATGTGTGTGTGTGCCCAAAATCTTGAAAGGAGAAATGGAGGAAAAGCGATTGCAGTGTTACCATGCCCCATGGGGGGTGGGGCGGGTGTGCTTTCTCAACTTTATTGTTTTTTCCTCTTTGTCTCCTCATCCAGTGAGTATAAAAGCCCTGTGACAAAATTTTTTTAAAACTGCATAAATCACATATACAACTTTTTTTGAGAGAGATTTTTGTTATAAGGTGTGTGTGCTCACCAGAGAGACAGAGACAGAGAGAAAGGAAACCCTCCAAGCAGTGGGGAGGGAGGGAGAGGATAATGGCCACGCTGTAATCCCTTCTCCTCCATTCTCCTCTCCGGACTTTGGGCACTCATGAATTAATATATTAATGTTGGTAAATTTAAGAGTTTATGAAGAATCTGTGAAAATAAAAAGCTCTAGGAAGCAGCAGTGGATAGAGTATTATCGTTCCTAATGCATGTGAGACTAACGATAGTGTAGGCAGAGAATTCACATTAGGGTCAACACATCTCGTAGAAGGGAAATTCAGTATCGGCAAATACTGCACAGTAATTAAATGTAGATGGACCATGATCATCAAACCTAAATAGCCTAGAAAATGTTGTGGATTCCCCAATTTCCCAATTCACATTTCAAAATCAAGTGGACTCTCAAAACTTCAGTCACATGCAGAGGAGGGAGGATATAGCCAAGTGCCAATGGCCGCTGTGAGAACATGACAGTCTGGGACAAGAAATAAAGAGGGATATTACATTTTCTGGAAAGAACACACTTGCAGGGCTCCAAGAGCAGCCCTCTTAATTCTTTAAAATGTCCCTGGGGTATCTCAACTGAGCCCCAGACTGTAGTGTCATGTCCTTTGAGGGGAACAAAAGTCCTCAGACCCTCTCTCCTCTCAGAAGAGAAAACTTCTCTCCTCTGCTCTCCCAGCTGTGGCACGCATACCACGTAAGATTTCCAGAGCAATTTCACAGGTGATTATAAATTCATAGAACTATTTGCTTCATCTCTCTGGCTCTAATTTTATAAGAAATGGTTAGATACTCAACTTTTAATGGCTTCTACAGAAACTTCCAAACCTTTCTCAATAACTTTCATGGTTTACAAAGTTTTTCCTTAAAGTGAACCATCATTTCTCAAGCTAGTAAAGCTCACTTCCTCTCCTGCTATAGGGACATAGAGTGCAAAGAGGAGAAATCTATTCACTGTCTTTTATAAATAAATTAGAAATATACGTGTGTGTGTGTGTGTGTGTATGTTTGTAAAAAGTTAACCACTGGATATTTTCTGACTTTTTAAAAGTTAAGCATTCTGTATGTTCTGATAGTAAATGTGCCCATTCCACTTCAGCCCCCTTTAATGAATGAATTTAATTGAATCCTTTAATCATCTGGGCACCAGTGTTAAATGTCCTTTTCAGTCTCAGTTTTGATCCTAAACTGCTGATATGTACTCCTCAACGGAAGGGTTTAAAAAGCACTGCTCGGTTGATTCCTTTCGGTCATCGGCCTGCCAGAGGATCCTCAGCGGGTTACTAGGACTCCCGCCAGCCAGCGCGGTGCCAGCCGTCCGTCCCTGCGGCTCCCTCCACTGGCCACCCCGCGCAGCGCAGCAGAGGGCAGAGTCTGCGTCCCAGCCTTTCACCCGGAGGTCTAGCCCAGCAACCCTGGGGTGGCCCGCCTTTCCACCGGAATGGCCCCCGTCCTTACTTCTCCCTCATTGTTTGTCCTTCTTACTCACCTCTCTGCCTCCCCGTTCCCCAACTCCTCTCCTTTCCCGCCCTCTGTCTTCTTTTCGCTCTTTTCTCCTTCTCTCCCAGAGCCAACCCCCAAAGTCTCCCTCTTTATCTTCTGCTTTATCCTACGCTTTTGGCCCTAGAAGTTCTGGAAGAACTGGGGCGAAAGGTTTGGGGAAAGGTGAAGATATGGGGGCAAAAGGAGAGGATACTGGAGGTACTAGGAGAATGAGCCCAAAAAGAGAGTGGGAAGGACGGGGCTTGTGCAGAATGTCCTATTTTCAGATGTTAAGACCAGTGGGCTTAGTTTATCCAGATCATGCCCTCTGGAGGACGGAGCTTTCAGTGCCTTACATTCATTAGAAAACAACCCCCACCCCATCCTCAACTCTAAAAATCATCTCTTTTTTTGTAGTTCTTAAAAGTTTGGACTATAAAAGTGCCTAGACTATAAAGAGGTTATAATTCCTTCTACACATTCTCCAGGAAATATTTAACTTGTGGAAAGCTGCTGCATATGGCCTGTTTCTGGAAATTTGGGTGTCCAGGCAAGAGGCTAAATGGAATATATAACAGAAATTGTCTGAAAATATATTTTTAAAAAAATTTCATAGGTTATCCTTGTTTTTACACAAGTCTACAACCAATATTTAAGGTACTGGATCTAATTCATAATAATCTATACATAATAGCAAACTGTAACGACAAAAAATGCATTTGTGCCAAGTGCTTGACACGAGACTCACCCATTGGTGACACAGGGGTGACTGTGATGAAGAGGCAGGTGAGAAGCAGGAACTGTGGCATCTTTCTGGACCAACAACCCGAAACGGACTGGAAAATCCTCTTCATATCAGTTCTCCTTTGTCCCCTTCTTTTTCAAGCACTCCCCCCCAAAGGCCTCTAGGCTTTTATGAAGAAAGACTTTATCAGTACTGGTCAGAGTTTTATCAGAGGAAGAGGATGAGTGGGATAAGGTGTCGATTCCTCTGGCCTTGGCCCCAGCTAGAAGAACTGCTTTAACTGTCAACAGGGTTATTTTATTGATATTCTTCTTTAGGGAAAAAACCCTCATCCTCCTATTGTTTTCTCTCAAGAATTCCCTGCAACAAAACCTCCAGTATCTTATCCAAAAGGGAATTGTAAATGAGGGCCATCCCCTCCTGTCAAAATCTTGTTTTGTGATTTCTAGGAACTGATTTCATGATGTTGCGGATCTGGCACTGCATGCTAAATGAGAATGGGATTCAGTCAGACTGTCGGAGCTGGTCATGAGGAGATGTCTTGGTCAGATGGCTAGGGAGTTTACGAGAGCACAGACTAAAGCAGTTAGACCAGGTGTGGAATGAGGAGCGTGGTCTGTTGTAGCAAGCTCCCAAGTCTGTTTTAACATGGCCTTTGACCTCAAAACTTCCTAAAGGAACAGGAAATAAGAATGAAATCTTTTGTTTTTCCCATCTCAAAAGTTTTTAATAGTGCCTTTCTTCCCCAACCTTCAAAATGGTTTAGTGGTATTTCTTTCATGAATTCGCACATTAAGATAGGATTAGGAACTTAAAATGAGGAACTACTTATTAACAACACTCTGGAAAGTTACATATCAGAATGTAGTAGAGTTTTACTTTTAGACAAAAGAGGGAACACCTAGGAACCTATATTTCACGAGCCTCTAGACGTAGCCTTAGTAATCTCAGGTTTGGAGTTCTCTAGCTCCCTGACATTTGAGTGTTTTGGACATCTGAGAATTAGCAAGTACTATTAATGAAGATACTGTGAAGGAGAAGGATGAAAAGAGTCAAGAAAATTGTTTTTCAAAAATATATTAAACCAGAGTCTGTGGGAAATCAAAAGTTTTCTCTCGCATTCTGACTTAGACCTAATACTTTGGACGTCTCGTATTTCTGCACACCCTCACTTAAGTTACTTTTCCTCAGAACCAAATTTCTAGTGACTGGGAAAGGAATACTGTCTTTGGGAAGTAGTCATTAAAATGGTCTTCACACGATTTTTTTTTTTACTAATCTCAGTGGCATTCAAATTATTGTGGCCTCTTTCCTCCTAAGGGTGGCAGTTCAATTAAACATTAGTACTTACTAATGTTTAATAAGGGGCCACGTTCATAACTGGTTTTCAACAGTGAATAAGATAAAAATGGTCTTTGTGAACATAGAATTTACAGTCCAGCAAGGAATATCCATTGATCTAAATTTTTTTTTTTTTTTTGTAGAGGTTTTTGCTATAGGGCGCGTGCGCTCGCCAGAAAGACAAAGAGAGACAGAGAGACAGAAAGCGAGAAATCACCCCTCAGGGAGGATGGCCACGCCACAATCCCTTCTCCTTCATTCTCCTCTTGGGATCTTGGGCACGCACGTACACACGCCAGGCGTGAGTTTAAACTGCTGGGTCTGGGACTTGAACCACGGTCGACTACATGGGAGTCCAGTGACATAGCCGTTATGCTAACTGCTGGTATCAAAATTTTAATAGACTCTTTTATCACTAAAGTAAGTGAAACGTAGGCAATTTGATCATTAGCTTAAATTGTGGTTTGATGGCAGCAAAGGGTGACTCTGGGCCTGCCTCATTGCAGGGTAGTGCTGCTCAGAGTCAGTGCTTTTAACAGAAAAACAAAACCTCACAACTTCCTGTCCCCAAGAAGCCATCTGAATGCTTCATATGTGTTGCAGAGAAACAGAGGACGTGTGCATGAGATAAACCCAGACTGGCTGCCAGGATTGATTGCTAGAGTCAAGGACTTTTACCAGATAGCCCTTTGGTTCTGTAAACAAGAATTCCCAGGATGGCAGGATTTTTCCCTCCCATTTAAATTTTTTCCTTTTTAGTTGACCTGCCATTTCATTTTTAACTTTTTATTACAAAAATTTCAAACATATACAAAAGTAGAAAGAATGATAATGGATATCCAGCTGTAATATTTACTAACATTCTATCAATCTCATTTCATTTATATATTTGTATGCATTTCTAATATATAGTCTTTCTTTTTTACAGATAACCATTATAACTATGCCAATTAGCAATAATTCCTTAATATATAATACCAGTCTTCCTTTTTTTTACTGATTAGCATATAACTATGCAAATTAGTAATAATTCCTTAATATCTAATACCCAGTCCATATTTTTAAAAGTCTTTTTGCTAGAGGGCACATGTACTCACCAGCAAGACAGGAGTGGGGGGTAGTAAGAAAGCACTCCCCATAGGGCAGTCCCTTCTTCATTTTTCTCTTTGGGATTTTGGGTATGCACACACATGTGCCTTTTTTTTAAAGCTTTTATTTATTATTATTATTACTTGAATGTGTATGGTCAGAGAGAGAGAGAGAGAGGAAAAGTTAGAAAGCAGGTTGGCATGTCTGGGACTCCAACCATATGGGGGTCTAAGCGCTCTAACCACCATGTCATCTGCTGGCTCCACGCCTGGTGTTTTTAAGCCAACAGGTCTAAGACTTGAACCGCATGGTCTACCTGCCACGTGGTAGATGATCTAGCTGCTCTAACCCCCAGGTCATGAGCTGGCCCCAAGCATTTCATTTAATTGTTGGTCTGAGTCAAGATTTAAACAAGAGTCAATATTTGAATTTCCATCAAGGTTTCAAGTATTTCTTTTAATTGTTGGCTTCAAATAAGATTCAAGTCAGAGTCAAACAAGATTTACATATTGCATTTGTCTGTGTCATTTAAATTTCTTTTAATCTGTAACAGTCATCCCTCTCTCTCCCCTACGGCGTGTGTTGAAGAAACCCGATCTCTTGTCCTATAGAATGCTCTACATTTTGGATTTTATTGATTGCTTCTTTGGTGTCTTTTAGCCTCTCTTTCTCCATATTTAACAATAACACTTGTTGCTATTTTATTTTTTCTAAAGTATGTGCTATTAGAATTAAAAAATGAAAATACTCTGGGTCAGTGCATGGCATAGTGGTTAAGGAAGCTGGATCCTACATGGTTGACTGCACTGTTTGAGTCTCAGATCCAGCAGCTTGAAAAACACACTGGGTGGGACCAGCAGATGATATAATGGTTATATTGCTGGATTTCCACATAGTGGACTGTGGTTCAAGTCCTGGACCAGATGGCTTAAAACTCATGCTGGGCACGTGTGCGTGCGTGCCCAAAATCCCGAGAGGAGAATGGAGAAGAAGGCGTTGCGATGTGGCCATCCCTCTTAGGGGGCAGGAGGTGAATTCTCTCTTTTGTCTCTCTGTCTCTGTCTGTGTTTCCAGCAAGCACACGTGCCCTATAGCAAAAATCTCTGAAAAAGAAAAGGAAAAACACACTGAGTGCGTGTATGAACCTTATCCAAGGTTCCATCTTGGATGCCATTTTCCATGGATGATCTCACTCATCCTATTTCATTTACCATTTATGTATTGGTAACTCTCAAACTGTAATTTTAGCTCAGATATCTTTCAAACAACAGACTTACTCATCTCCTAACATTCTCCATTCTGTCAATATTTGGGGTATGCATACACACACGCCTGCTGTATTTTTCAAGGTGCTGGACTGGAACTTCAACTGTGATAGGCCACGTGGATTCGGATCTAATTCTCTGGCCAGCACCAGAAAATGTATGTTTCTAATGATTTTCTGGGTACACCATGCCACTGGTCTGGGAAAGCACACTGAGAGAGCTCTTTCACTTTTCCAGCTAAAGTCTATGGTCCCTCAGCAAAACTGTTAACCTGTACTTAGATAGGATGTAACAGTATGCGTTATCTATCTTTAATCCTTTAATGAAAACTTTTTTTAAATGGTAAAATATACAAGTCATACAACTTATCATATTAACACTTTTTAAGTGTACGGTCAGTGGCATTAAGTACAAGCACATTGTTGGGCAACCATGACCCTCTCCACAAGTTTTTCATCTTCCCAAAATGAAGTTCAGTAGCCACTGAACATTAATTTTCCATTCTCCCCTCCCCTCAGTCCCTGCCAACCACAGTTTCTACTTTATATTTCTACGAATTTAACAACTCTACGTATCTCATATAAGTAGAATCATATATAAGAGAAATCATCCTTAAGAGAGTATGGCCATGCCACAATCCCTTCTCAATTATCTTCTTGGGATTTTGGGCATGCACGCAACACGTGCCTGGTGTCTTTTTTTCAAGTCCCTGGGTCTGGGACTTGAACCATATATTCAGTCATGTGGGATCCAGCTGCCTTAATTTCCACACCACCTGGCTGGCCCCTTACCACTGACTTTATTTATGGTTGTAGAGGTCACTTGTCACTTGTCTCTTTTGTGACTGGCTCATTTCATTTAGCATATGTCTGCAAAGTACATCCACACTATAGTATGTATTGGAATTTCATTATTTTTAGATTTACCAGAGGGTGCGTGTGCTCACCAGAAAGACAGGGAGGGAGAAAGCACCCCCAGTGAGTCATGGTCACACCACAATCTCATCTCCATTTCGTCATCCTGTTGGAATTTGGGGCACATATGTTCAGTATGCTTTTAACCACCAGGATTCAAATTGTGGTTGGGATCTGGCTCCTTTAACCACTAGGCTAGAGGGGCCAATCCTACTAGTAGTGGAAAGGGTCCCAATTTCTCCACATCTCAGCAACACTTTTTTTTTGATAATAGCAATCCTAAAGTGTGCAAAGTGGTATTTTTATGGTAGTTTTAATTTGTATTTCCAAAATTTTTAGCAATGCTGAGCATCTTTAAATGTGTTTATTGGCCATTTTTATACATCTTCTTTGGAGAAATATTTATTCAAGTCTGTTTTTATTTATTTATTTATTTATTGCCATAAGGTGCATGCACTCACCAGAGGAACAAAGAGAGGAAAAGTGGGAATTTACCCCTAATAGGGATGTCCACGCCATAATCCCTTCTCCTCCATTCTCCTCTTGGATTTTGGGCACATACATACATGTGACTGGTGTGGTTATCAAGCCACCAAGTTCAGGACTTGAACTGCAGTCAGTCATGTGGGAGTCCAGTGCCTTATCCACCATGCCACTGTTAGATCCTTTTGTTCATTTTAAAATCAGATATTTTTGAGGTCACTATACTTTAAACTTTAAATCATTAGAGGTGGGAATCATGTTTTTATTTTCCTTAAGAAAAAAAAAAGAAAATCTCTTGCAAAACTTAACAGAATGTGTGGAATATGTAGATATATTATTTGTTGAATGTGAACAACAGCTCAAAATTATTAATCTTATTGTCCTATACTTTACATATGTCTCAGTGGTGTCTGTGTTAGACTGCTTCGAACTGCCAGGAAGCAGGAACATAGCTTTGGAGGCTCCTCCCTGCCCCATAAGGCGCATTCACTTGCCAGAGTGAGACAGAGAAAGGATACATGAGCAATCACACCACAATCTCTTCTCCTTCATTCTCCTTTTGAGATTTTGGGAATGCACGCACATGTGCCAGAGTGATTTTTAAGTTGCCAGGTCTAGGACTCGAACTGTGGTTGGCCATGTGGGAATCCAGTGCCTTGACCACTATGCTACCTGCTGGTTCTCACTATGGAGGCTTTCTGAATATGACCTCATACCCCACTAAAACAATTAAAAGATACAGATATGTTTTTTAAGAGAGATTTTTGCTATAGGGTGTATATGCTCTCTGAGACAGAGAGAGAGAAAGCAAAAAAATCACCTCTCAGGGATGATGACCACGCCACAATTCCTTTTCTTCCATTTTCCTCTTGGGATCTTGGGCATGCACGCACACGTGCCCAGTGTGGATTTAAGCCACTAGGTCCAGGACTTGAACCAGAGTTGACTACATGGGAGTCCAGTGATGTAACCATTACGCCATTTACTGGTCCCTGGCGTGAGTTTTAAGCCACTGGGTCTGGGACTTGAACTGTAGTCAACTACGTTGGAGTCCAGCGACATAACCATTGCACCATCTGCTGATCCCATGATTTTTGATATACCTTTAACTAATTTTGAAGCATATGATAGTTTCCTGTTTGGCAATCACTGTAAATTTGATACGAACGCTGAAAATGATAAATATTTAATCTTGGGTTCTCTTTGGACAACTTTCTGGAGTCCAGGAGCCCACACTGGGCCATCAAGGTGATCTGATACAATGGAGATTCTTCCAGTCAATCAGGAGATGAGGACTCAGTCTCAGTGTTTTTTTTATAGGGCATGTATATTTGCTGGAAGGGGGAGGCAATTAAGAAATCACCCTTAAGGAGGGTGACCATGCAACAATCCTTTCTCCCCCATTCTCTTCTTTGGATTTTGGCATGCATACACATGCATCTGGTGTTGTTCTCAAGTTCCTGGGTCTGGGATTTGAACCATGTATTCAAGCATGTGGTATCCAGCTGCTTTAAACTTCACACCAACTGGCTGGCCCCTCAGCACTGACTTTATTTATGGTGGTAAGAGGTCACTTGACCTCTTGGTGACTGTAGAAAATCAGAAAAATACTGACCATGTTAGGTTTAGGAAAATCAATGAAATGACCATTTTTGAAACATAGGCTCTAGAAACTAAGCTTAATTCAATAATTATATTTTTATATAAACTAATTTCGGTAGTTAAAAGCTTCTCAGCTAGAAACACAGGAAAATAAGCTTTGACTCCCTAGTTTTGTTTTAAAGAATGAGATACTATAGTTCAAAAATTGAATAAGTATTTATTGTTCCAGAAGGTACATTGCTTTTTATACATATTTCATAAATGATACAGGATTTTACACATATTCAGTATTTTACTATTTGTGTAAAGGACTATTCTCCATGTCTTCCTCCCTTGCCTCCCACACACCCGAAAGGATTTGCTCATTTGCACTGTGCTGTTTCTTCTTAAAAACCCCGCACGCAAACAGGATAATGGTTTAAAAATAATTCACACAACTTAACAAAAATAAATGAGGGAAGGGGCCGAAGGACTGGGGGTAGGCAGGGGAAGGAAGTGGGAGGAGGACTGGGAAGTGAAGACATGCATCCTTTCATTCCATCATGCCAGTGAGAGGGGTGGTGGCAGGAGCAGCAGCAGCAATCCGGGCTGGCCTTCAACCTCTGCAAGGCACCTAGAGTCTGATTTGTCATTTAGAGTTTTTCTTTCCACACACAATAATCCCAAAGGTCAAAGAAAAAGAGAAAGAAACCCCTTGACACAATGAGGAGGGATGAATCACGCGAAAGAAAAAAGCCAATCCATGGTATGGCAAGCCTTTATCATCCTCTCCGTTCTGTGCCCATAGTAGTTAAAAACAGGATATTACACACAGATTCCTTTGACTCTTCAAGTTCCAATGTCATCTGGAAATATGGTAGAAAATATATTGATAGAGTATAAGATTAATTCTTCTTTCTCTCAATTTAAGATAAGAAAAAATAGGGTGGAGAAGGTAGACTGAAGGAAGCCATAGAAATGTATTTCTGTATAAATTGCACCCTTTGAGATCCGCACACTTGATTTACAACTGAAGTTGTGGAGGTGGGAGGGCTCACAAACACTGTGTCCTGCGTCCTTTGTCCTTCAAGATTAACAAGGCCTCCAAATGAGGTGGTGGCCTGGAATGCTGTCACACAAGCAGATTAACAGCAATGAAATTATTCTGGTTCCGAGATGGCTACCGAGCCATGATTTTTAGCCAGTTTGTAAACCTTACATCTTCCTGATTTGGTAATACAGCTGAACATTCCCCCGCTGATTTGACTTGTGGAGGAAAGGGGGGACTTTAAAGGGGATACGTATATAAAGGAAGGACATTTTTCCTCCTCTGAAAGACTAATTATTAAAAAACAAAACAAACAAAACAAAAAAGACCTCATGCAATGTTGCCCATGATTTCCAGATACTGATCCGGAGCACTGGGACATAGAGCCATTTAAGAAGTTATTAAGGGATAATCCTAAGTGTTCATTATCAACAGTCATAAGTTGCTTCCAATTATTATATGGACAGAATTAGTGTAACCAACTGGTATAAGTAGATGGTCAGAAAATGGATATAGGAGGGAGAGTCCTGGTAACTTTGCAGAGACTGGGTCCAAGTTAAAATAAATGCGAATGATATGGGCTCAGACTGTTACCCGCATATCATGAGAATTTGTTTTTCTGATATATTTATTTACTCCTATGTCAAAAATAAGAAAAGTTAAATTAAAAAAATTAGAGCTGGGTGGGGTGCTGGTGCGTTACTGTTTTGCTGATCCTGCAAAGATACCAGAAACCAACACTCCCAGCATCATTTTCTCTTTATGAATCTCTCAACTATATAATTAATTGCATCATTTCATCCAGAAACTGAGATGCTTGATTAAGACAATATTCACTAAGCCCTTTGAGCTTATATTCCACAATGTCTGATCTTCAGATTTTAACATTCCTTTTTTCCTAAGATTCTTTCTGTTTTTGTTTTTGATTAAAGGTAAAAACCCACTACCCCCACATGGCTCCCAGCTTCCACCTGCAATGCTTTTAATTAAAAAGGCAAGAGTTATAAACAGGTGATCTTTCTGCTGGGATGCAGAGGCTCTTTGCAGATCAATCTTTTTCACCAATTTGTCGGAGGGGCAGATGTACTTGTAATGGGTCTCTCAGTCTCTTAAGGTCCATTTCTGCCTAAAATAGAAACAAAAAGTGAGAAAAACTGACCACTGACGATTTCAATGATATTACTATTTACTTGGGAAAAAACCCTGTCTTTTCTTCATTACAATGAGTCAGAGATCATCTCACTTCCTCCCAAAATAAGAGCGCTCAGAAGACAAAGGGCTTGGGCTGGCAGGTGGTGTGGTGGTTAAGGGCCTTGCTTTCTCACTTTCCTCCTCTCACTGTCTCTCTCTCTTTCACGCTGTCCCTCTCTGGTCAAATTGAAAATAAATAACGTTAAAGAAAATAGTTAAAAAAAAAAAAAAAAAAAAAAAAAAAGACAAAGGGCTTTAACCCAAAGCATGGGACAACAAAGAGAAAATCCAAAATGGAAGTCTGTCCTAGGCAGTTCCAGCTGTCAATAAAATCTTCAGAAAAGGAAGTGCTCGCAATAGGGTGTACCTCAGGGGCTTAAGAATGTAGAGACCTGAGATGTGCACCTTGATGGCATTTCTCTAGTGAGAAGCCTTTCACAAACCTCTACCTGGATCCAGAACTTTAATTTATGCTACTCAAGATTTTATTTATTTATTTTTATAATAATTTTTTGTTTAACTTCATTTATTTATTTTTTAATTTGACCAGAGAGGGACAGAGAGGGAGAGAGAAAGGGAGAGAGAAAGCGAGAGAGAGAGAGAGAGAGAGAGAGAGAGAAAGTGAGAAAGCAAGCTGCCAGGTCTGGGACTCGAACTGTGGCCGGCCATGTAGGAGTCCAGTGCCCTTAACTACCACTCCACCTGCTGGTCCCAAGATTTTAGTTATTTACCCAGTATCTGTTTAAGTTTTTCCCCTTGCCAGTGAATTTTAAAACAGAGATATGCAGTCAATTGCAGCACTTCCAAAACTCACATATGCTTAGTCTCACCCCTGAGGAATTGGATTAATAAGTCTGGGGCAGAGTTGATGCATCTGTATTTTTGATAGCTCCAGATATGATTCTGATGCCTTCCCTCCAGTCAATAAGCACCACACACAATGACAAAACAAAGTCCACTTAGGCCAAGGCCAGAAGATAGATTAAGCCTATTCAAAGTACAACCCCAATACCATTAAGAGACAGAAAAGACCAAGAAGGTCCAGAGCACCTAAAAGCAAGCTGCCAGGTCTGGGACTCGAACTGTGGCCGGCCATGTAGGAGTCCAGTGCCCTTAACTACCACTCCACCTGCTGGTCCCAAGATTTTAGTTATTTACCCAGTATCTGTTTAAGTTTTTCCCCTTGCCAGTGAATTTTAAAACAGGGATATGCAGTCAATTGCAGCACTTCCAAAACTCACATATGCTTAGTCTCACCCCTGAGGAATTGGATTAATAAGTCTGGGGCAGAGTTGATGCATCTGTATTTTTGATAGCTCCAGATATGATTCTGATGCCTTCCCTCCAGTCAATAAGCACCACACACAATGACAAAACAAAGTCCACTTAGGCCAAGGCCAGAAGATAGATTAAGCCTATTCAAAGTACAACCCCAATACCATTAAGAGACAGAAAAGACCAAGAAGGTCCAGAGCACCTAAACATGAGAAGAATAAAGAGTTCCTAGAGACTGTTGAAAAGTCTCTGAAGTCACAAAGACTATAGAGAAAAGTAATGATTTATTCATCAAAATCAAAGACTGCAGCAGTAAGGAGGCACATCCACAAATTTGAAAGAGATAGTGTTTATGGAAAATGAAACACCAATTTTCTAAAAAGAAGTTTATTTTTTATGAGAGAAAGAGAAAGGGGGGGGAAAAAAAAGGATACTCTCCCCCCCCCAACAGGGTCTTTCCTCTCTAGTCTTTCCCAGCCAGCCATGATCAGGCAAGTATATATGCACACCCAGCAGGTACAAGCCAACCTGGGAACTAAACCCAGATCTTTCAATATGGCTTCCAACATTGTCCATCATTGAATTAGTGCTGTGCCACTGTGGTTGAGCCAAAATACATTAATCTTTTTAAAAAGCACCTTCCAGTTTAATCGTGTTTGACCTGTGCCTGGCAAAGATTTTCAGAAGTTTTCCTGCCAAACCTAGATTTTATTTTTGCCCTAGTTCTACCACACATTTTAAGTGAGAAATTTGTAGGTCAACTATTGTAGAAAGATGAAAAAGACAAAAGTAAAAATGGACAACTCAAAGGAAGTAAAGTGAAAAAAGTAAGCCTAAAAACGTCAATAGGCTAGTGTTAATAGGATAGATGGGACCTACCATCCTTTTGTCTACTTACATTATAAAATTTTCTAGAGAGGTGTCCATGGCTACAATATAGTTATTTTTTTAAATCAACTAAGGAATAATGTGCACAGTAAGAAGAGAGTTGGATTATTCTTTTGGTTTACTCATTTTACAGTATGGTAAAATGAATAATAATGAATAATAATGCTATACAAGATGTGGTTAAGATTTATTTTAATTTTTGTAAAATTTACCTGAGCAATTGCATCCTTGAGTTGATTGTATTTCTCTAGGTCAAAACGTGACTTTTTGGCTCCTTTATGGAAAAATAGTAAGTACTGTCTGTCTCTGGCTTCCGGATAAACATACTCCTACAAAAGTAAAGGAGAAATTGAATGATTAGCCCTTAGAATAATGTCTTCACCAATTTAAGCATTTACTAAATGTTGATTAGATTGTGTTAAATGTGCTGTGTAAGATATTTAATTACTTCTTAAATACTTCGTTGTGAAACACAGAAGAAGACATATAAAAATGTACATAACATTGAATCACATTACAAAAATGCTAATGAATCATCATATAACAAACATGCTAATCATCACCAGATTAAAAAAAAAAACAAAACGCCAAAAACACAGATGCTTCCCTCCTGTCCCTTCTCAGTTATAAATACCTCTTTCCCCCAAAGTAATCACTATTTTGATTTTTATGGTAATTGTTTTCTTACTTTCCTTATAACATTCCTCCTTAAGCATAGAACCCTAAGCTCTACAGCTTAGATTCACTGTTTTTTTGAATTGCACAAAAACGGAGTAATTTAGTATGTATTATACATACCTATTTTTATTCAGCATTACGTTTGTGAGATTCCTCTTTTTGAGTAGCTATAGTTATTTATTTCCATCTTTAATTATATTGTATGACTACTTTATAATTTATTTATCCATTTTATTATTTTTTTCTTTTGGCTAGAGAGTGTATATGTGCCAGAGAGAGACACAGAGAGAGAGAGGGAGAGGACAAAGAACCCTTTGTGGGGAATGGTCATGCCTCAACCCCTTCTCTTCATCTCTCCCTCTTTTCAGGATTTTGGACATGCATCAAAGGCCTGTCATGCTTCTCAAGTCACCAGATCTGGGATTTGAACTATGTGGTTGGCCATGTAGGATCCAGTTGCCTTAACCACAAGGCCATGGAGCCAACCTCCTCTTTGGTAGCTTTTAAGATTTTTTCCTTTGGCTTTGGCTTTTGAAGTTTAACTATTGTTGTGTCTAAGTGTGGATTTCTTTTTCTTTTTTTAAAATATTGATTGTCATTTGTTGGGATTCTTAAATCTGTGAATTGAAGTCTTTCATCATTTTGGGAAAATTCTCTGATAATAGATTTTTAGATATTGTTTCTTCACATCTTTTCTCTCCTTTCCTTCTGAGATTCAAATAAAATTAAATATATAGTAGGCCTTTTCTCTGTATCATCTGTCTCTTACCCTTTCCTGTATTTTATATCTTTCTATTGTTCCATGCTTCATTTGAATAGTTTCTTCTGAGTTATCCTAGATCAGCATTTCTCTCTTTAGTTATGTATAATCTACTGTTAAATCCTTCCAGTGTATTTCATTTCTGGAATTTTCATTTATCACTTAAAAAAAAAAACATCAAATTGTCTGTCAGTAGTCTCAACCTTGCCTTTTATCTCCCTAAATATAGTAAGTATAATCATTTTAAAGGCTACATCTGATAATGCCACTATCTGGAGCCCCTATATGTGTTTCAAATGGCTATTATTTCTGTAGGTATTTCCTTATGTATCTGCTTATTTTTGATTGTATGTTCAACTTCACATTTGCAAAATTATTTGTAGAAATAATTTTTTTTGAGAGTTTTTTTTCACTATAGGGCGTGTGCGCTCGCCAGACAGACAGAGAGACATAGAGACAGAAAGCGAGAAATCACCCCCCAGGGGGGATGGTCATGCCGCAATCCCTTCTCTTCCATTCTCTCAGGATCTTGGGCACGCACACACATGCGCCCGGTGTGAGTTTTAAGCCACCGGGTCCGGGACACGGTTGACTACGTTGGGAGTCCAGCGACATAGCCATTATGCTAACTGTTGGTTCCCTGTAGAAATAATTTGAGGTTTAGGATAATGTTTTCTCTTCCCAGGGATAACTTACAGTTGCTTCTACTTAGAGCCTGTGAGCACTATTACTCTAGGGTTACCAGTATTCTAGGACTACCTTTATCCAATTTACGAGATTGAGATGAATCAAAGATGAGCTACAGTCTCTGAGGGAATCTACAACAGGTTCATCCTTATTCTACAGTAGTAGCCTTTAGAAGTTCCAAAACAAAGTCTCACCTACTTTATTCATTTATTTATTTTGCAATGGGGCACATGTGCTCACCAGATAGAGACAGAGAGAGAAAGTAAGAAAACGCCCTCTAGGAACAATGGCCAAGCTGCAATCTCTTTTCCTCCATTTCTCCCTCCTTTTGGGATTTTGGGTATACGTGCACATATGCCTGCATATTTTTCAAACCACCAGGTCTAAGATTTGAACCGTGCAGTTGGCCAGGTTAGATCCAGCTGCCTTAATCACCAACCCACTAGCAGGACCATGGCTCTCTCTCAATAGCCTGTGAGCTCCCTGAGGGCAGAAACCAGATCTTATATCTACCTCTCTACCTTTAGTACCCAGAATAGTGCCTGACACAAACATGGCACTCACGTGCATGTGCACACATGTGTGTGTGAGAATGTGTAAATGATAAACCAGCATTTAATTTCAAAAGAACGAGAGAAAAGACAACTATTTTGACAACCTAAACTTTATTACTATTTCATAAAGAAGTGGGGCCAGCAGGTGGCACAGAAGTTAATGTGCTCAACTGAGTGGCTGGAGTCTTGGACCCAGCAGCTTAAAAAAACATGTTGGGAGCCTGTGAGTTCATATCTAACATCCTCAGAGGAGAGTGGAGTAGAGGGGACTGCAGCATGGCCATACCTCCGGGGCGGGCAATTTCTTACTTTCCCCCTCTGTCTCTGTCTTTCTCCAGTAAGAGCCCTATACCAAAACTAAAACGAAAATACAAAGTTATTTGAAGAATTCTTACCTGGCGTGTAATTACAAAATACGCATACATTGCCATGGCACTTCCGTAAGTGATGAAGTAAGTGACTGGTTCCATGATGTCCCAAGAATATTCCCACCAGGTGAGCCGGGCCAAAATGCCAAACTGTGTGGCCATATAGGCAAGGCCACCCCATAGCACCAAAGTTGTCCTCTTCTCAGCTTTCCTGCTAATCTCAATCCGTACCTGTTGGACACACATGATAAACTGTAAGGCATTTTGACACAGAACCAATCTGGAACTCTTTATTTAAACTGTTCTGTATTCACTGAAGAAACAGAACTAATAATCAAGATACAAATTAGTCTCGATTCTAGTAAATAGAGCTTGTCTTTTAAAATTGTATCATAGTTTTCACTAAATAAAATATCTTACAGGAATAAACACTTTTTAGGGCATTGGTATTTCATGTCTTACCCCTGAAGTATGTGAAAATATGGGAATAACTTAGTTTTTTTTTTTGAAAGGTTTTTGCTATAGGGTGCATGCGCTCACCAGAAAGACAGAGAGAGACAAAGAGACAGAAAGCGAGAAATTACCCCCCAGTTGGGATGGCCACGCAATCCTTCTCAATTCTTCTCCTCCATTCTCCTCTTAGGATCTTGGGCACGCATGCCCGGTGTGAGTTTAAACTACTAGGTCTGGGACTTAAACCGTGGTTGACTACATGGGAGTCCAGCGACATAGCCATTACGCCAACTGTTGGTCCCAGGAATAACTTAGTTTTAACAGCTCTTTATCCAACCACAAGATTACTTTCTTTGAAAGAGGAATATGAAAATACACTTATGTTCTCTTTTTGTTGCATATACTAGGGACAGAACAACACACTAATTCAGTGTATGGAATCAGGATTCAGAGTGGCTGTGTTCAGGGCCCTCATCTGCAAATCACTATAGAATTGTTCTGTAGGATTAAGTAAGAGAATACAGGTAAAATACTTCTACAAAAAATAAAGTATAACATATATTCATCAAAAAACATCCAGAAAAGTGTGAAGAAAACTATCAGTCATAATCCTACTACTCTATCAGCATTTGGAATATATTCCCTCCTGTGTGTGTGTGTGTGTGTACATTCTCTCTCTCTCTATATATAAGTATATACACACACAACCTACACATAGCTATATGCATAATATACTTTAAAATTGAGTAACAGCATACTTACTGTTTTATACTTAACTTTTCATAATATATCACAAATATTTACTACATCAAATTGGGCTTACATATTACTTGTATTTATTTATTTAGGGTTTTTGTTTTGTTTTATTTTTGTTTTCCCCAGGGGGTATGGCCTTACTGTAATCCCTTCTCCATTATCCTCTTGGGATTTTGGGCATGCACACACGAGAACCCAGCATAATTTTCAAGCTGCTGGGTCCAGGGTTCAAACTATGGTCTCCCATGTGAGAGTCCAGAGCCTTAGTTAGCTACCATGCCACCTATTGGGCCTAACATATTATTTTTAATAGCTGTATAATATTCCATATAATATCTCTTTTTCTTTTTTTTTTTTTTTAAGAGATGTTTGTCTTATGGCATGTGTGCTTGCCAGAGGGAAAGAAAGAGAGAGAGAGAGAGAGACAGAGATGGTGAGAGGGAAAGTGAGAAACCACCCCCAGGGAGGATGGCCTTGCCACACTCCTTTCTCCTTTACTGTCCTCCCAAGATCTTGGACATGCACGCACACATACCCATGTGAATTTTAAGCCACTGAGTCTGGGACCTGAATGGAGGTCAGCCACGTGGGAGTCCAGTGATGTAACCACTACGCCATCTGCTGGTCCCATAATATTTATTCTTAACTTGGAGAAAAATAATTACTACATGCAGAACCTTTCCTGATCAACCATTACTTCAATTTTTGTTTTAAAAGTAGTAAATGTGGTTAAAGGCAGTACACTTAGCGCTCAAAGCTTATAGTCCATTAGCAGGATTCCAAGTCATTCTTTATTATGTTCTTCTTAGCTTTAATTGTAACTTTACTATGTTCAGCACCATAAGTGGTAGATTAATTTGACTGACATTATTCAATTACATAAAACTTAGAAAATAGAAACATACATGCTCTGGAAAAAAAATAAAGTGAAGGGAAAATCTGACATCTGAATTTTTACCTTTTCCAGGGGAGCGAGTTGCTCTTTGAGATCCTCTAATCTTTCAATAAGTTCTCTTTCCTTGTTTAACTGGTGCTGCTCAATACACAGCGTAGTGTATAGCTGTTGGACCAGAGTTTTTACATCGTTCAAGGTTGCTGCATTTTCATGGCTTAAGAGGTCTGAAAGAAAAGGGTTACATTTTGTTAAAACAATTATTTCTTCCTAGCGAGATAGAGAAAGACAGCACCTGCAAAAGGACCTTGATGTCATAATCCACTCCCAGCCTCAACCAGCCTCAGATCACGGGGCACACACATACCTGGGTCTCCAGATGAGAACTTAGAACCTCCCCTTGTGAGTCAGCTTCACAGAGCAGCATGTTTTACTGCTGTGCCACCCTTTGTCCGTACCCCTATCCCATACCCCTATCCCATACCCCATACCCTTAATGTATGCCTTTCATGGAAAGTTGCTATTCCTGGGACTATCAGACAGTGAGATCGGCAAGGCAGATTCATTCATCTGCTGTAGTAAACCCATGTTCAGTGTTGAGATAAAGAAAAGTGATATTTCTCTAAGAAAAAGCTGTCCACAAATCTAAAAATACATTCATATTTGGGTAATTTGAAAAAAAAAAAGTAAAGAATTATTTAATTTTTTAAAAATTTGCTATAGGGCATGTGTACTCACCAGAGGAAGAAAGAAAGGGGGGGGGGAGAGGGAGGAGAAAAAATGGGGGGAAGAGGGAGAGAGAGAAAGTTGCCTGCTCCAGGACTCAAACTGTGATCAGCCATGTGGGAGTCCAGTGCTTTAATCACCATGCCACCTGCTGGCCCCAGTAATTTGGAAAATTTAAAACTAATAGACATCATTATATCCTCAGACATTTTAAACTCTACAAATGAGGTAAACATTAAGAAAAAGTGAAAAACATTAAGAAAAAGGCTGTGGCATGGTGGTTAAGACAGCTGGATCCCACGTGGCCAAGTGCACAGTTCAAGTCTGGACTCAACAACGTGAAAAACATGCCAGCTGCATGAGCATGCATGCCCAAGATCCCCAAATGAGGGAGAAATGGAAAAAGGATTGTGATGTGACCTTTCCCCATGGGGGAGGGCTGCTTTCTCACTTTCTCTCTTCCTCTCTCTCTCTGGTGAGTGCATATACCCTCTGGCAAAAAGGGAAAGGAAAGGAAGGAATGGAATGGAAAGGAATGGAAAGGAAAGGAAAGGAAAGAAAAGGAACAGAACGGAGAAAGAAAGAAGGAGGGAGAGAGAGAGGAACAAAGAAAGGCAAGAAGGAAGGGAGGGAGGAAGGAAGAAACACCTGTGGGCCAGTCTCATAACCTAGTTGTTAAGGGAGCCAGATCTTACATGGCCTACCATGGTTGAATGCCAGCCCTTGGTGCCTTTAAAAACATGCTGGGCATGTGTGCATGCATGCCCCAAATCCAGACAAGATGGAGAAATGGAAGACAAGGAATTGTGCCATGACTATGCCCCTTTAAAGGGTGCTTTTTCCCTCCCCTCACCATGTCTCTATCTGGCAAATATATATGCTCTCTGGCAATTAAAAAATTTCATTAAAGACAAAAATTAAAGCAAATTAAAAAAAAAAAACTGATCAAGAAGTTAAGTAAAAGCAAATGCTAAAGTCTAGAAGTAAAGTTTAAAATCACTGATGATTGTGAGTTTCTAAAATTTTGATCTGTAATTTATCTGTGGTCCTACTATTTTCATTTATTCCCTTTAGTAACTCCTAAGGAAGAAATATACAGGATTTCATATTTGCAATTATAAAGGCATATAAATAAAAATACATCATCCTAATAATCTTAATGGCAATATATCTTCTCCTTCTCATACCAACTTCTATTCACTCCTGTTGAGGAAAGACAGAATAGGTCTTTATATTGTAATCTATAGGACATGACATTTTCGTGTTTTGGGTTTTTTTTTAAGAATTATTTTATTTAATTTTATTCATTGATTTTATTTTATTTAACGGAGAAAGAAAGAAGGAGGGAGAGAGAGAGGAACAAAGAAAGGCAAGAAGGAAGGGAGGGAGGAAGGAAGAAACACCTGTGGGCCAGTCTCATAACCTAGTTGTTAAGGGAGCCAGATCTTACATGGCCTACCATGGTTTGAATCCCAGCCCTTGGTGCCTTTAAAAACATGCTGGGCATGTGTGCATGCATGCCCCAAATCCAGACAAGACGGAGAAATGGAAGACGAGGAATTGTGCCATAACTATGCCCCTTTAAGGGGTGCTTTTTCCCTCCCCTCACCATGTCTCTATCTGGCAAATATATATGCTCTCTGGCAATTAAAAAATTTCATTAAAGACAAAAATTAAAGCAAATTAAAAAAAAACTGATCAAGAAGTTAAGTAAAAGCAAATGCTAAAGTCTAGAAGTAAAGTTTAAAATCACTGATGATTGTGAGTTTCTAAAATTTTGATCTGTAATTTATCTGTGGTCCTACTATTTTCATTTATTCCCTTTAGTAACTCCTAAGGAAGAAATATACAGGATTTCATATTTGCAATTATAAAGGCATATAAATAAAAATACATCATCCTAATAATCTTAATGGCAATATATCTTCTCCTTCTCATACCAACTTCTATTCACTCCTGTTGAGGAAAGACAGAATAGGTCTTTATATTGTAATCTATAGGACATGACGTTTTTGTGTTTTGGTTTTTTTTTTTAAGAATTATTTTATTTAATTTTATTCACTGATTTTATTTTATTTTTATTTTATTTTTTGAGGTTGACCAGAGAGAGACAGAAAGAAAGTGAGAAAGCAAGTTACCAGGTCCAGGACTCAAACTGCGGTTGGATGTGTGGGAGTCCAGCCATGTTAACTACCACGCTACCTGCTAGCCCCAAGGGCATGCAGTTTTATGAAAAATAAAATTCTTTGATTAAGAGGCTGGAAGGTGGTGTGGTGGTTAAGGGCAGTGGACTCCTACATGGCTGACCATGATTCGAATCCCATACCTGGTGGCTTGCTTTTCTTATTTTCCTTCTCTTCCTCTCACTTCTGTCCTCTCTGGTCAAATTAAAATAAGTAAATAAACAAATAAAGGTAAATAAAATAATTCTTTTTTTAAAATTATTTGATTCAATATCTGCTACTGTGAGTAGTATGCATTTCCAAAAACCTAAAAATTATATTTTGAGAAACTAATAAAAACCCAGCTGAAGTCAGCTGTCAGAGTTTTAAAAAAAAGAAAGAAAAAGTTATCACGAATAAAGCTTTTATTTTAGAATCTTTTTTATGAGAAAGATTTTTGTTATAGAGCACGTGAATGTGCCAGACAGACAGAAAGCAAGAAATCACCCCCCCAGGGGAGATGGTCACGTCACAATCCCTTCTTCTCCCTTCTCATCTCAGGATTCTGGGCATGCATGAACATGCAACTGGCGTGAGTTTTAAGCCACTGGGTCCAGGTCTCAAACTGTGGTCTGTTTTAGAATCTTACTAGCTTCATGTGACATTTTGTTAGGTAAAGCCTAAGGTCAGCTCTTTCCTAGATTGAAATAAGCCACAGTCAGAATTAATGATATATTTAAAACAGTCTTCAAAGATGCCCTTTAGTACACTTGCCATAGAAATTCAATCAATGAAAAGACTCGAGTAAGTGGATTTGAGAAGAGTTGATACAGTACAAAAAATGATGGTGCCTTGGATGCCAGCAACACCTTCTTTAACCAGGGAAAGAAAGATAACATGGTGGAAATAAAATTCACACCAATTTTTCATTTTACCAAATGAAAAAAAGATTTGTTTTAGGGCCAGCCAGTGTCATGGTGGATAAGGCAGCTGGATTCCGCAGGGCTGACTGAACAGTTTGAGTCCCAGATCTGAAAGCTTGAAAAGCACACTGGGTGTACATATGTGTGTGCCCAAAATCCCAAGAGGACAACGGAGGAGAAGGGATTGCAGCATGGCCATCCCTTCTGGGACAGGCAGGGGTGGTTTCTCACTTTCTCTCTCTCCAGTGAGTATGCATGCCCTAAAACAAAAACTAATCTGAAATAAAATTTAGAAAAGTTTCTCTGTACTTTAGAAAGCAGGGAAAACAAAGAGTTTATAGGTTTCATGTAGTATTTGAACTTCTGTGAGAGATGGTATCCGATGGCATAATCTATCCTTGGCTAACAACAGAGCTAAGAGAGCTTTGATGTATAAATTTAAATGTTGAAAAGGTCTTTTTTTTTTTTTTAAGAGTTTTTTGTCTTAGGGCATGTGCTCTCACTGGAGAGAGAGAGATAGAGAGAAAGACAGAGATAGTAAAAGGGAAAGTGAGAAATCACCCCCTGTGGGGAATGGCTATGACACAATGCCTTCTCCTCCATTTTCCTGTGATCTTGGGTACACACCCATAACACTGTAAGTTTCAAGCTGCAGGGTCTGGGACCCAAACCGTGGTCGGCTATGTGGGAGTCTAGTCACTACACCATCTGCTGGCCCCAAATGTTTAAAAAAGGTCTTTTAAGATTCTATATCATTATGGCAACTGAGTTCATCAAATTTCGCACTTAAATTAGTTATTTGCATTAATTACAGCTTCATCATTCTTGCAAACATTCCACCTTCATTTATTTCCAGTGACGCTGGGCATATATTCCACAGTTCTGAGATACAGATAAAGCAAAAATGAGTTTTAGACTGCTAAGTCACTATAGATGAGATATTTTCAGTTTCTTCTTTAACTTTCCTTATTCAACTCAGAAAGAGCCTTATTTAAAAAACTAAAACATTCATTTCTATGGAAAAACACAGTATTAGACAAATGTTTGGTATTATTGATAGATTAAAATAAAAACTTTTAGTTTTTTTTTTACAACATAATATATGGAAGTCTATCTATTACCTTTTCAGATTGTTATACTTCATATATGAATATGTCAGTCAACTTTAAGAATTCTACCAATTTAACAGAAAATATAAATAGCATGAACTTGATAGATAATTCACAAACAACCTGAGTAAAACAGGGCCTGTACTTATGTTACTTTAAAGAGAATTTCTGGCCTAAGAATCAGGGAACAAAGAAGAAAACATATGGGCATGCTGATTATAGCTAACAGTCTGGATTTACAAATTCTGTTTTTCCAACTTAATAAAATCTGATTCAATAATGTCTTACTAAAGGATACTTTTCCACTCTTCTTATTTAAAGGATACTTTCTCTAGCAGGCTCGATTTCAACAAGCTTAAACAAAGAGACTATGGCTTCTGAACAACCAAAATGCTTTCCATTTCCTTTGTTCAATATAGAATGACCAGCTGAATCAACGGGCATTACAAAATCACAGTACCCTCTCTAAGAGCATTTACCAATAAATAAATAAATAAATAAAGTAGTAAGCAAAATCCAGATATTAATCACTTCTGGTTGGTTGGGAGTTAGAGAAAGAAAGAATGGGATTATTAAAGGCTTTGTGGGACAGCTGACATCAATTATTGTGACATGAGGAAAACGGGGGATAGGAGGAAAAGAGAAAGACATCTCATGCAAAAGAAAGGTGAGCAAATACTGAGATACCAGAGAATGGGGCACAGTTCAGGAAACCTCAAAGGAATCCACAGTGGAGGAAAAGGAGGTAACATGTAGGGGGCAAAAGAAATATTTTTTAAAGGTGGATATGGACCAGACTATGGGCATTTAATACACAGGCCTTCACTCAGAACTTTTCTATGTTGGACCTAATTCTTTTCTTCTTCTTTTTAAAGGATTACTTTTATTAAAAAAAGAATTATTTATTATTATTATTTTAATTTGACCAGCGAGAGACAGACAGACAGAGAAGGAAAGTGAGAAAGCAAGTCACCGGGTCTGATGTCAGCCATGTGGGAGTCCAGCATCTTAACCACCATGTCACCCACCAGCCCCAGACCCAATTCTTTTTTTGTGGGGGAGAGATTTTTGTTATGGGGTATGTGCACTTGCTGGAGAAATAGAGACAGAAAGTGAGAAATCACTCCCTAGGGGGATGGTCATGCTGCAATGTCTTCTCCATTTTCCTTTAGGGATTTTGGGCACACACGTGCATGCATCTAGTATGAGTTTTGAGCCTCAGGGTCTTGGACTTGAACTGTGGTTGGCCATGTGGAAATCCAGTGACATAACCATTATGTCATCTGCTGGTCCTGACCCAGTTTTTTTTTTTTTTTTTTTAGAGGTTTTCGCTATAGGGCGTGTGCCCTTACCAGACAGAGAGAGACATAGAGACAGAAAGCGAGAAATCATGCCCCAGGGGGGATGGCCATGCCACAATCCCTTCTCCTCCATTCTCCTCTCGGGATCTTGGGCACGCACGCACACATGCCCGGCGTGAGTTTTAAGCCACCAGGTTGGGGACACGAACCGCGGTCGACTACATGGGAGTCCAGTGACATAGCCATTACGCTAATTGCTGGTTCCCCTGACCCAGTTCTTAATGAAAGGATCAAAAGAAAGGATGTCCTAGGAGGTTGATAGAGGGAATGTTGGTGGCATTAACAACAGTAAGTGACAATGGATATCGAGGACCAAGATAAAAGTGGCCAAAGACACAACTGGAAAAGCTATTTGATTGACTGATTGCCAGAGGATGCATGTGCTTGCCAGAGAAATGGAGAGAAAGTGAGAGAGCAAGGGAGAGGGAGAAAGCACCTCCAATGGGCATGGTCCTGCCACAATCCTTTCTCTTCCGTTACTCTATCCTGTGGGATTTGGGGCAGGTATGTACATGTACCAGGCTGGGATTTAAACCATGGTCAGCTGTGGAATCTAGCTCTCTTCATAACTAAGCTATGAGGTCAGCTCTTGAAATGCTATTTTAGAGAGCTTTCAGCATCAGTACCACACAGAGTCATACTGGAGCGCAGAATGAAAAACAACAATTAAACTAGTAATACTGACTCTGTCTTCATTTTAAATCCTGGTATTTTGTTCATCATGGATTTTCTTCATTAACTTTAAAAAAAAAAAAACAGTACATTAAAATATCATTTTACTTGATTACTGAGTTCTTTGGGTGTCCTTTTAAAATTTGTGCTCGAGGGGCTGGCAGGTGGTGTGGTGGTTAAAGACCCTGGGCTCCCACAAGGGTGACCACAGTTTGAGTCCTGGACCTGGCAGCTTACTTTCTCACTTTCCCTCGCTCTCTGTCTCTCATTTGTCAAATTGAGAAATAATAATACTAATAAATAAAGTCAAATTAAAAAAAAAAAATCTGAGCCTGAGGTGAGTACCTCGTTGAGATGAAGGCAAATAGGTTGTCGGAGTTCCTAAGGACTACAGAACTTGTGCCACCAAAAGAAAAAACGAAGGAAGAAGCTAAAGTTATATAGAATATATAGAATATTCATTTTTGTGAGACAGTAACTATATCAGATAACAAAGCATTCCAGTATGTAGAATCTAAACAATTTCAGTCAATGGACTAGCCAAGTGCCAGGTGCTTGATGAAATCTTCAACTGAACAGTCTACCTGGATGTAAAACCTGAAGTATTCTTTGAATATTGCCTGTTTCTCAAAGTTACCTGGGGAAAAATAAAGCTCTTTCCAAATGCCCTCCCCCAATTTCTGTGACCTTATCAAGGCTACATTTTTACCTCTCTTTGGTGGTCGTACATGATACGTTAAGTCATTAATGACCAGCTTAAAGTCATCAAGGAGGAGGAGGTCTATCCCTGTTGAGGCAGCAACTCGAACGCCATCTGTGAAAATTTTAAATGAAACTTGTCATATGTCCACAATTATTCAAGAATGGTCAGGAAAAAATATCTTCAAATAGATTTTAAAATTACCACGTCCCTTTTAAACGTTACTTAACTTTTTGCCCCATTCCCCAGTTCTATGCTAAACACATTTTAGACTGTCAAAAGCTCTTTTATTTTTCAGGTTTAAAGTCTATGATTTCATAATATGCTTTCTTTTTTGCAGAATTGTATGAACAAGCAAAATAATTACTACTAATAGATCTGTAAGAAATCTAGGGTCACCAGAAGAACTGTAGGGATTTCTTACATTTGCCTATGATGGAAGCTGGTCGAGTGAAAAAGTAGAGTTTTCTGGGGTCAGATGGTGGTGTGGTGGTTAAGGAGCTGGACTCCCGCATGGTTGATGGCAGTTCGAGGCCTGTACCTGGCAACTTGAAATTTATGCCGGGCATGTGTGTATGCACGCCCAGTCTCAGGAGAATAGACAAGGGACTGCAGTATAGTCATCCCCTTGGGGGATGATTTCTGAGTTTCCTTCTCATTGTCTCTATCTCTCTCCAGCAAATATAGTTGCCCTATGGCCAAAAGAAAAAACCTAAAAAACATAAAAAAAAAAAAGCAGTTTCTAACATATGGTCCTTTTCAGTATGGTCACTGATCAGTTGCCAATAATTCAGTGGCAATGAATGCTAGGGTTAGCAAAATACACCAAGCTGGTCTACTAATTACATCACTTGATGTAGAGCTGGGAACACTTAAAACACAGAAATGTGGTAACCGTTAACGAATAGTGAATCCAGGTGAAGAATAAATGTATATTTACTAAACTAGTCTTTCAAGTTTTCTGTAGGTTAGAAATCTTTTCAGAGTAAAAATGAAAAAAAAAAGGCATTTAAAAAATAAATAAATGTAACAGATGCTCCATCAAATGGAAATTTTCAGGATCTCATTTTATAGTTTTTTCCAAATTGCACCTTTATTTTGGTAAACTTTTATATGCTAGACATAAGAAGATCTAAAAAGAGTTCTAACACTTTATATCTCTGGAGATGACCATTTGACTGTTGAAAATAATTATTCTATAACTAAAGTAATGATAAAAGGTCTCAACAACATAAAATGGAATTGACTGCTCATCCTTGCTCCTAGCATTATATGTGAGATGTTTTTGAAAAAGACTCCCTGTGGGAACCAGCAGTTAGCGTAATGGCTATGTCGCTGGACTCCCACGTAGTCGACCGCGGTTTGCGTACCGGACCCAGTGGCTTAAAACTCACGCCGGGCAAGAGTGCGTGCGTGCCCAAGGTCCCAAGAGGAGAATAGAAGAGAAGGGATTGCGGCGTGACCATCCCCTCTGGGGGGTGATTTCTCGCTTTCTGTCTCTATGTCTCTCTCTGTTTGTCTGGTGAGCGCACATGCCCTATAGCAAAAAACCTCTCAAAAAAAAAAAAAAAGACAAAAACCCTCTAAAAAAAAAAAAAAAAAAAAAGACTCCCTGTATACATACAATTGCTACAACTGAACAATTATATCCTGAGAACCATCTGGAGAGAAATAACTCCCTGACATTGTCTAAGCAAAAAAAAGTTTTCTAAATGTAACAGTAAGGATTATTTTGTAGCTGTGTGTGTGTGTGTGTGTGTGTGTGTGTGTGTGTGTGTGTGTTTTGGGGGAAGAGGTGGGGAGCATGAGAGGTGGGATGGAATTAATAATGAAGGTGACTATACCTGGTGAATAGATTGCAACTCTGTCAATTCCCCGATCTTCTTCTTGCAGTTGTCTTAAAAACACACCAACAGAGTCAGAGATAGGTTTGAGTGTGAACTGGCAGCGTTCACGCCGGGATGGCAGTCTCACGGATATCACAGGTAACCCATTTTGATAAACCACTGTCACATCTGAATGAAAAAGACACACAGACATAATAATTAAATTTCATTATAAGTTAAAGCTGCATTATTACTATTGTCACATTGAAGTCTATTATTATTATTAGTGTGGCTTAAAGTGTTTTCAGAAAATGTTGAGAACATGATGTTTCGCTTTAGTTGAAGGGTATTCTGGGAACTGGCTTATACAAGATAAATAGATGACACGATTCACTTTTCAGCTATGGGAAACTGTTTTCCCAAGGAATTGTTTTCTGAATGGGTCAAAGAGAGGCTTTTCCAGGAATATGAGGTAAAGTTCTGGATGGTGGTGACTACAAGCCCTGGTTCCATCTACTGAGATTTTTTTCTCCTTTATTTGTGATAAAGCACACGCATGTGAGAGAGTAGGGTAAGCACTCTCCACAGGGTCTGGTCACGTGTGACCAGTCTTCCTCCAGTCTTACAGCCCACTGGATCTTGGGCACTTGTTCATAGGCTTAGCGCGTGTCAGGCTGACTGGGCTGGGGATCTGAACCACGGCTACCATGTAGGAACTGGCTTTTCTTGAGCAGCGTGTTACCACTGTGCCATGAAGCTAGCCCATTTAGCAAGTATTTCAGTAGCTAGAGATTGCTGGGTCAGACTCCACAGCCTATAGGAGGTGGGACTTGGGATTCAAGCTTTCAAATATACCTGGAGAATGACATTTTTTTCTTGATTTACAGGGCCTTAATCTGTAAAGTGAGGATTAGAATAATCCTCTTTCAGAATAATTTTCAGATGAATTTTTTTAATAAATAATTTTAAGCAAGAATTTTAAAAAATGAGCAACTAAGCATTTAAAGATGATGTTAGCATTAAAACAACAACAAAAAATAGGCTCTGGAATGAAATATGGGATTGAATTCTGGCTCTGTAATTTTGAGCATATTATGTAACTTCTCTATGCCTTACATATATATATATATATTTATTTAAAACATGAACCTGGACCAGCTGGTGGCATGGTGGTTAAAGTGGCTGAATGATAGGATTGTGCAGTTCAAGTCCCAGACCCAGTGGCTTGAAAAACACACCAGGCGAATGGGCATATTTGCCCAAAAATTCCAGAAGGATGGAGAAATGGAGAAGAGATTGTGGCATGGTCATATCCCATGGGGATGCTTTCTCATTTTCTATCTCTTTTCCCTTCTCTCTCTCTCACTCTCTCTCTCTGTATCTCTCACAAGCAAATGCATGAGCCCTCTGACAAATTAAAGAAAAAATGAGTTTAATCCCTAGCTTAAAGAATTGATGTGGAGGGGACCAGGAAGTTAGCGTAATGGCTATGTTGCTGGACTCCCATGTAGTCGACTGGGGTTCGAACCCTGGACCTGATGGTTTAAACTCACGCCAGGCATGTGTGCGTGCGTGCCCAAGATCCAGAGAGGAGAATGGAGGAGAAGGGATTGCGGCGTGGCCATCCCCCTAGGGGGTGATTTCTTGCTTTCTGTCTCTCTGTCTGTCTCTCTAATTTTTTTATTATGATTTTTTTAAATTGTTTTTCGGGCGAGCGCACTACAGCAAAAAAAAACTCTCAAAAAAAAAAAGATTTGTTGTGAGGGAAAAAAATGAAATAACCATTTAAAACACTTAGCACACTCTCACATAAGTGATACTATTTCCTTATTAGCTTTTTTTTAAGAGTCAAAAGGTACGATCCATTGTGCTTTTAAGGATTTATATCCAATGAAATTAGTTTAGAGAGAATACATGAGATTAATGTAGAGATTAAAAATGCTTCAAACTTTTCACTGTTGTAGTTATTTCAAGCCTCTGGGTCTGGAACTCAAACCTCACAGAAGCCATGTGGATCAGCTGCCTTAACCACCACACTACTGACTGGCTCTGTTGTAGTCATTTAAATCTTATTTCCTTATTTATTTTAGTAATTCATAAGGCCTCCCGTGCATATACAAGCTTTATACAGAAATATTCTCTAAATAGGAAAAGAGAAGTTTTACTATAATAGAAAATATTTTATACTGAAATCCTTTATTATTTAAATTAAAAATAATAAATCTTATTGAGAAATAGCTGACAAATAACAAAATATATTTGATCAACAACAGACATTTGATAAATCAAGATAAAGAACATTTCGGGAGCAGAAGGGGGGTGTGGTGGTAAAACAGGATACTCTTCAAAACAGGGAATCTACTCTAAATGCAAAGACATGGATGTGTTCCTATTTAACCAACTATTCTTTCTTCTACTTTTTTATTTAGATCAACTGAATATTTTTAATAATTACATTAATCTCTACTATTGGCTTATTAACTATATCTCTCTTTTTGTTTTTTAAGGATTAGTCTAAAGCAGGAGTTAACAAACTCTTTCTGTAAAGGGCTAGGTATGAAGTATTTTAGGCTTTATGGGCCATATCTTCATTACAACTACAGACTACCCCTGTGATGCAAAAGTAGTCACCAATAATATGTAAATGAACGGGCACATCTGTGTTCCAACAAACTTTATTTACGAAAACAAATAAATGACTGGCTTGGCCTGAAGACCACAGTTTGCTCCAGCCGGCTGTAGGGTTTATAATAGACATGTTTAACTTATCACAGCCCATCTTCCAATGGCACCATACCACTTTAAGTGTATGAGGGAACTTCAAACAAAAGGCTCCTGGAAAAACAGGATTAAAATCCAAGTTTATTTTGGTACAGAAACGTTTTGAAATCCACACTCAGTTTTTTTCATAATATGCATTTCTTATGAACTTTTTGAAGACCTTGCTGGTTTACAGAACCTTAGAATATACTTTGATTCTTTCTCCCTTCTTGCATTCTTTGTTACTATTCTCCTATATCTCCCGGCTTGCATTCTTTGTTACTATTCTCCTATATCTTATGTCTACTTGTATTATAAATCACACAATATATTATTTGTTTTGACAACTGATTATCTTTTTTTAATTTTTTGCCATAGGACATGTGTGCTCATTGGAGAGAAAGAGAGACAGAGGGAAAATGAGAACTTAGGGGATAAGAGTGACAGGGGAGACTGCCACACTGTAGTCCCTCCTCCTTTAGTCTCCTCTTGGGATTTCTGGCGCACACACACATGCACACCCAAGCATGATTTTCAAACTGCTGGGTCCAGGGCTAGAACCATGGTTGGCCATGTGGGAGTCCAACACCTTACCCACCAAGCCACCTGTTGACCCACAACTGATGATCTTTTTTAAAAAAAACTTTAAGTGAGAAATTTAAAAAATCCTTCATATTTACACATATTTATCCTCTGATGCTCATCATTGCTTTTGTATAGACCCAAATTTCCATCTGGTGTCATTTTCCTTCTGTCTGAAGAAGTTCTTTAAACTTGTGTAAATATGCTGGCAACAAATTCTCTTGGCTTAAATGTGCCTAAAGAAGTTTTCATTTTTTCTTCATTTTTTTTTTAATTGCCAGAAGGTGCATGCTCTCACCAGAAAGAGAGAGAGAGAGAGAGACAGAGAATGGGCTGTGGTCCTACCACAATCAATTCTCCATCTCTTCATCTTGGGATTTTGGGCACACATGCAAACATGGCTGATGTGTTTTGCAAGCTACTGGGCTGGGATTCAAACTGTGGTTGCCTCGTAGGATCCAGCTTTCTTAATCATTAGCTCATGAAGCCAGCATTACCTTCATTTGTGAAAAATATTTTGTTGAGTAAAAAGTTGCACATTGATGGATTTTATTACTTTTTAGCACTTTGAAAAACTCATGCCACTGTCTTCTGTTTTGTATAGTAGGTGTTAAGAAGTTTGTATATAATTCTAACTTTGCTCCTCTATATTTAATGTCTTTTATCCTCTGGCTGTTTTAAATTTTTTCTTAATCATTGGTTTTCAGCATTTTGATTAGGATATGACTTGCTTTCCTTTACGACTATTCTGTTTGGAGATGGTTAAATTTCTTAGACCTGTGTGCTCATAGTTTTCATCAAATTTGGAAATATTTTGGCTATGATTCAAATATTTTTTCTGTCCCCCAGCCTTTTCATCCTGAGATTCCAAGTGAACTGTTAGATCAGGTAATACTGTCTCACAGGTCACTGAGGCTTTCTTAAACTACTTCAGGAGTTTTAAAATCCTTTTCATCCTGGATAGTTTTAATTGTTATATGTTTCAATTTT